TACAACGTCGTTGCCAAGCGACGAAAACCCAATCCCGATGGCAAACACCGAGGTGGGGGTGCCCATTGCTGCATCACATGCATGTCGCCGAGGGGTGTCCACCGACAGACCCTAGGGGTAAGCCACACAAACTCAAGCACCGCTTGTGGCACGACGGAGTGAGGGGTAAAAAAGTCGCGAACAACGACCGTTGCAACAATACAATGACGGTGGTCAACACCAAAAGTTGGTCAGGGCATTGATCGTTTTGTTGTTATCGTCTCAAGGACTGAACGCGCGCAACTCCCTCGCCGCACTCAAGCTACATAGATGCTCCAATTGAAGCCCTGCTTGATGTGGGCCTAGCGCACCCTACGTGGTAGTTGCCTCCGTGCTCCGTTCCTTGTCAGAAAGCGCCTTCCGCCTGAGGCTTGCCGTCCTGGCGATGTTGAACGTAGCTTTGCGGGTGTAATTGGGATTCGAAGCCCCGTAGACCACGGCCCAGAGCTAGTTGCGCACGCCTGATCATTTAACCGCTCCGCGCACGCAGTTTCCTAACATGTCTTTCTTCATCGCCATCTCTCCCTCCCTCCCTCCCCCCTCCCCTCTATCTCTCCCTCTCCTCACCTGAACGTCGAACAGCCTGGCTCGGAAAGCTCGGAGAAGGTCCTTCTCCTGCTCTTGCAAGATCTTGGAGCTCCTGTCCTGCACCATCTCCACGTTGTGCAGGATCTGCTTGTGCATGTTCTTGAGGCTCTCCATGCTGTGGTTCCCTTGCATCCAAGACATTTTGCCCGACTGGCGTTGTTGTTGGTTTTACCATAAGATGAGATGGAATGGGATGGGTTGGAATGGGATAAGGTGAAAGACATAAAGCATTTCCAGGTCCGGGTGTGAACGTCAACTACGAAACGTTTGTAAGCATGAACGTTGTAAAAACGCCTTTGGTGATAGCATCTTGAGAAAGAGGTTTGGACGAACACTCTACGTACGACAACATCTTGGCCTAAATAATGATTGGAAGCCGTTCAGAGCGTGAAGGGCATATACTACTGGTTTCTTGAGCCATGTTTGGCACAACGAACGAGGGGAGGCGTTTACCGACGAAACCAAGTGCTCACCAACAACCTGTCTTTAGCAACATCAGGAAAGATACGGCAACAACCAAATCTCGACACGTTAGGTTGGTTTGTCGACACGCTACCTAATCAGACACTCAGTCGCACTACCTAACTCACACGTAATAGATACCCCGGGAGGTTTGCCTTATTGAGTGAAAACATGCCCGTACTACTTCCCTGCCGCACTACTGCCTGCACCTTCAAGCTCCCCACTTCCTCCTCCAGCTCCTCGATTCGCATGTTAAAAGCGCGCTCCCTTCGAATGTAACTTTCCTGTCTTCGACTCAGATCTGCTTGCAGGGTATCCACTTTCTGTCTCATCGCCTGCGATTGCGGACAGCAGAAATGGCGTGAGTATCAATGCACGGGCGTATGGCATCGGTGAAGGAAAAATGTTGCAGGGGTAGTACTGTGTGTTTGCGGCTTACGCCACATATTTATCGGGTGAGACTGTTTTGGTGATGTATTAACTTCACGAGAGGTAGATGACCGTCCTTCACACGGACGAAAGAGGGAGTGCTCAAAGAGCGGCTCCCACAGCAAGGAGGGGCCCCGTGAATCATCGAGGTACCCCCTACCAAACGGCAATCTTACCAGTCTGCGTGACACCAAATCATCCAGCACATGTATCCAACACGAATGTTCGCAGACCCACGGACACCCTCCCTAGTTCTTCTCGCAAGTGACTAACCATCAATGGGGCAAGAACGCCCCTGGATACATCAGAAAATACCAACATGGAAATATATGGAGGGGAAACCCGGCGTCCGGGCAAAACCCTTCGAAAAAACCCTACCACCACAAAAACCGTCGCTATCACAGCGGATCACAACGTCCGCACTTATTAGAAAGGCTTAGGCGAAGACAAGAACGCGAGGAACTACGTTCCCCCGGACGATGGTCTCCCAACGCTCCCTACTCTCCTGCCATTGGTACACAGACCGCAACAGTTGTGCGTCTTTCCCCGCATGGAAAACATGACCTCTCCCAAGTGCTAGAAACTGCTACAGCTACCCCGGCAAATTCATCAACTTGCGCGGGTGGTACTGCAGACTAGCCCTGCAAAGGGCCTTGGTTAGGAGGTGCGCGTGTTGCTCCGTTGTCGGAACGAAGTTGACCGAAATATCCCCCGACCTAAACAATCCGCGGATGAAATGAAATCTCACGTCGATGTGTTTCGTGCGACCTGAGCTGAGGGGGTTCTGCACCAACGCTATGGCCCCCTGGTTGTCCTCAAGGACCTGGATGCTGCTACCACTGGTCTCTGGGGCAACAAACGAAAGCACAGCACGCACAAACAACGCCTCCTTGACGC